GGGGGGGGGGGGGGGGGGGGGGGGGGGGGGAGGGGGGGAGGGGCCACTCGACATCGAGTCTACAACCCTCTCCTCTGTCGCTCACGAAACATCAACATTGGCAGGGTGCCAACGGCGTCAGGTGCAACAACAGGGCGTCTACTTTTCCTAAAAAAAGTCCGCATCTCGTGCCCCGCGGGCGGGGGCGGGGGGAGCGGATTATACAACCGACTCTATTCCTTCACGCCTGATTACGCAGGGGAGAAATCGACGAAAAAAAGGCGCGTATTGTAGCGATATTCGCACATCACACTATCTGCTATTATCTGCATCCGTTTTGGTACATATCGATATTCGCAAATCGTATGCATGGTATCTACCACTATTTAGTAGGCCGCGGTAGATGACACTTGTAACCAATCACGCAAAGACCCCCACCCGCAGGTTAGACTCGGTGTCGATGAGGAAGATGAAGTCCTTCGGGATGCCCGCGGCTCTGTAGGCCACGGCGTCGTGGACCCTGTTCCCTATCCCCGCCGCAAAAACGGCCTCCCCGAAGGTGCGACCGGCCTCTCGGAACGGCCGCGCTAGGTCCAGCAGCGCCGTGATCTTGTAGTCGTGCATGTTCTTCGACACGAGCTGGAGCGAGGGGACGAGACGCGAACACAGCGGGGGGCGAAGAGGTTGGATTAGCAATAGGAGGAGGGAGACGGGTGAGGTGGGGAGAGGGGGTGCTGTGGGAGGGAGGGGGGGGGCGTACTCTTATGTTTTGTTTTGCACGCCTTAGCGGTTAGACCATTGACCACGCGTCCTCGAGAGGACGGACCATTGTTGCCGCAGGACCAACCACCGATGGCCAATCGTTCCTTTCTACTTTGCCAAAGGTGGCTCAAAAATGTCTTCCCTAGTCTGTCTATCCTAACGATATCCCTTCCCGCCTTTTCAACCCACCTCCTATGCCCCAGTACAGCTACCGTCCTTTCCTCTCTATTCCATGCCTCAAACATCTCCCTGTACGTTCCATCTATTTTTCCCAGCTCAGTCACGTACACTTCCCTCTCCTTCTTGTACAACGGACATTCCGCGACTACATGAACACGGTCTTCGCATTCGAAGCCGCAATCACATTTGAACTCGTCGTCTTCCTCGTCTACCGTCCTATGTCTTCGTCGACGTTCTCGAAGGCCTATGTCCCCGGTCCTGAATTTGACCTTAAGCTTTGTTCCTGCATCCATTGGTCCATGTAGGTAGTCCTTGAACCCTATTCCTTCCTTCAACATTCCGTACACTTCTAGACCCTCCTTATCCTTGGATTCTTTCCTCAGATTCTGTTCTTCTCTCTCGGCACAAGCAACAGATATCTTCTCCTTGAACCCCTGTAGACCCTCCGTTTCCAGCGTTTCATCTTCGTCGATGTCGAGCCCCTTCCATACGTCCTCTACAACCTTGACCCATTCCGTGGGTTGTCTACCCCTCTTTTTGTTTGCCCACTTCGCCTCCCATACAATTCTCGGCAACCTCTCCTCTCCCATCCCGCACATGCGATACTGCCAGGTCAGCTTCCTCGCGTCTCTTCCCGACCGTAGGGATTGGATCCCCAATTCTGCCCTCACGGCTGCATTACTTGTGCGCCTGGAGCATCCTAGGATGGTTTTCGCTGCTTTCATCTGCGCCGCCTCGAGTTCTTTCACTACCTTCTTATTTCCTTCCCATACTTCTCCGGCGTACTCTAGCGGCGGTACGATTACGCTCTTCAAAACCGTCAATTTGATGCGTGTATCGAGGTGCCGGTTTGCGAGTATTGGGTGCAGCTTCCCTGCTCGTGCTTTGCCCTTTTCCGCTACCTTGGACATGTGTGCATTCCACGAGCAGTCTTTTGCGATCTCTACTCCAAGGTATGTGTACTGGTCCACTACTGCAATCTCCTCGATCCCCCACTTCCATCTATGTTCTACTGGTTCCTCCTTGTTCTCGTTGCATACCATGACGGCACTCTTCTTAACGTTGGCAGACAATCTCCACTTATCAGTAAACTTCTTCGCCGCGTCAATTTGCAGTTGCAGTCCCTCAGGGGTGTCCGACATACCGACAAAATCATCCGCAAACAGCATTCCTGAAACCGACGTTTCCGTGTCCCCTACTTTTACTCCCTTCCGGACTGCCTCTACGACTTCCAACAGATCGTTGATGAACACCTGGAACAATGTTGGGGACAGCGTGCAACCTTGTGGGACCCCCTGCTCAATGTCGAAGAATTTTGACAGTTCTCCGTCTAGCATGACCGCGCTTTTCGTACACTCTGTCATCTTCTTCAGCACTCTCCACATTTTCCCCTTGATCCCGTATTTGGACAGTTGTTTCCACAACCCATTTCTCCACACGGTGTCGTATGCCTTTTTCACGTCCAGGAAGAAGCAGTACGTCGGCTTTCCCGCCCTCTTTCTACCTTGGATGATTCTCCCTACCGTGAACACGTGGTCTACGCACCCCCTCTTCTTGCGGAAACCTGCCTGGCCCTCACTAATGCTATGTTCCTTCTCCAATACTCCCACTATCCTATCGTTCAGCAGCTTACAGAACACTTTTCCTACTGTGTTCAACAGTGTGATCCCCCTGTAGTTTCCTGGGTCAGTCTTGTCTCCTTTCTTAAACAAGTTCACAACCACTCCTTCCCTCCATCTACTTGGCGTATACTCGTTTTTCCACACCCAATTGTATAGCAGTACCATCAGCTGGATCATCCCCTTCCCCCCAAACTTCATGAACTCGTTGACTATCCCATCCGCTCCTGCTGCTTTGTGGCACTTCAGCTTGTTCACACACGCCTCAACCTCGTCCTCAGTGAACTCCTTTTCTAGTTCTACGTTCCCAACGTCTGCCTTCGATGTCTCTTCTTCTTTTTGGGCCCATGCGTCCACCTCCTTCTTAAACGCTTGGTCAAAAGCTTCATTCTCCGAGGGCACTCCAAGTCTCTTGTAGTGTCCTGCTAGAACTTCCCTTTTTCCCTTCCCACTGCTGACTAATCCACCGTTCACACCTCGCAAAGTTGCTACCCCTGTATCCCCCCCTTGCGCGGTCTTTTTTACCATTCCACTAATCCCTTCCCACATCTGCTTGACGTTCCCCTCCAGGCCTTCGTTGGCCTTCTGCACTGCTTCGTCCTCAATGCACTTTTTCTTCTTTTTCACTAGTCCCTTCACCTGTTTTCTCTTGGCCCT